TTATTATGCTTTGTTTCTATTATATGAACAAAATAACATGGTAACGCAGCTGGCAAAGCATCACTTGAGGCGAGCATAAGGACCTGGGTTCGATCCCAGGACCCAACATTTGCTTTCTATTATTTTTTCTCATATGATCAGGTGTACCACATTACCAGATCCAGCATACCTAACCTTTCGAGGATCATCATCCTTTGGACCCGTCTCCAGCCAGATCCAGCACGCCTCACCTTCTGAGGATCATCATCTTCTGGATCCACCTCCAGCCAGATCCAGTACACCTCACCTTCTGAGGATCATCATCCTTTGGATCCGTCTCCATCCAGATCCAGCAAACCTCACCTTCTGAGGATCATCATCCTCTGGATCCATCTCCAGCCAGATCCAACACCAGCATACGCAGGTCCGCCATGAGTCCCCAGAAGATGGTCTCATTGGATCAGGCGCCAGACTCTGGGCCATCCTTCTGGGTTTCAGAAGTTCAGCATACGCCCCCAGTTTGCTTCATCACTCCAGGCCCATTATTTTTCTCTTCTTTATTTATTTCTTTTGTTTTAATTATCTTTTTATTTTTTATTTTTCACCCAAAAATTAATTGTTTTTTTAATTAATCATAAAACCAACAAATCACAAAAATACAAAAAAGCATTTTTTTATATAATAAATTAATTAATTTAATTAGGAAATTAGGTTAATTTAATTTCTTTCATAATTTAAAAACAATTAAAAATTAGGTTTAATTAATTTGTGATTTAATTGTTTTCTCAAATAAAAATCCACAAAAATTTCTTTCACTCAATTAGGGTTTAAAGTTATTAATTACCGTCCTCGTATCTAATTTTCCGCGCGCTTGTTAATTATTTTTTCCATTACTTTGTAACTGTTCAGGGTTTGTAATAGTTAAATTAGGGTTTTATTGCTTGCTTTAAATCCCCGATTTTTGGTTATGTAATTAATCCCCCTCCCCGAAGCCTTGTAATAGCTAGGTTTTACTTCCTCGCACTTTTAATTTCTGCAATCTTTAATTGTTAGATGTATGGCTAATAGGATTGTATGGCAAGAATGCGTGAAAAATTACAACAGTTAGAAAACCCTAATGTGCAAAGATAACATTAACTGAAAAAGCACACTTGCACATGCTCATTCTTAGGGTATACTCTCACTCCGGTTGCCTTCGCTAAATGGTCATGAAGCATAGGATGTTTTAGAGGCTATCCTCTATGTCCCAAAAGATCAAATTGTCCCATTCGAATGTTTCCTCGGAAATGTTGCCTCGGAAAAGATCTTTAGGACTCTAGGATGGTTACTAAGGTGTCCTAACATTGCTTTTGTGACCGTACGTCCCTTTCGAATGTCCCTTACAAACTCCAACGATGGTGCTACCTACTCCTTAATAGTAGGATAGCATTGTCTAAATGAAATAGAATAGAAACGATCTTCTTTTGAGTAGGTAGATGCTAGTAGGTACTTGCTCAATAAAAAAATTTCACACGAACACCTTTCAAAACAAATTTTCAAAATAACTTTGTCACATCCTTGAGGACTGATACAAGGGTTATCACGAAGTAAAAACATTTTCAAGATAAATACACACAAGCAATTTGAAAAAATGAGCAAGTACCTAAGAGCTCGTAGATAACTACAGATAGAAAGGGTGTTAACACCTTCCCTTTCTATAATCTACCCCCCCCCCCCCCCCCCCCCCCCGTACTCAAAATATCTCAAAAAAAGGTTTTTCTATTCTTTTCCCTTTTCCATGATTGGATGAAATAAAAGTCGATTGCGACTCTTGCTTACCGTGACATTTTGCAAACACAAAACGCAAAACGCAAACCAGTATTAAACAGTCGGTTCTTCCACCGTATCACAGAATTGGTGACTCTGTTGGGGATAATAAAGTGGGGTATACCTTAGGATCTAGGTCATTAAAAATTGCTTCTCTTGATTGTCTTGATTGCTTTACTTTGGAGGGTTTTGTTTGGGGTTACTATAGATCCTACACCCGGATCTGGGGGCACTCATTAGGTAAACAACAATAGATCGTAGAGACTGTATGACATAGACCGATATGGTTTAAGCGATGGCTGTGTTAGTGTGTCACTTTGGTTGGTACCGGTATCCTGCATGGGGAAACGAGGAGAATACGGGGCCGCCGCATGGTATCGTGAAGCACTAACGGACCTTAGAACCTTAGTTGAACAAATTGGCCATTAGAAAGTAGTGAGATAGCCAGCCTCAGTGTAGAGCTGAGAACTGGTTGATACTCGATACTACACTCATTGAGATCATACTTTCGGGATATTTTGGCTGAAAGAAAAGATTGAGAGCTGAAATAATGCCCGATAAAGGATGGTCAGTGATATTGAGAATCTCTAGAACCCGGTTACTGTTTTAGGACATGTTGAACCAACTAAACTTCAAGAGGGTACTACCTTAAAACACATTCAAGCCTAAACCTAAGGCTGTTTGTGTGACTTGTGTGCTTTCAACTTGAATTACTTGCACAGTTTTATTATCTGACAACATGAGTTCCTTGCAGGTTTTATTTACAGTCCTTATCCAATAAGCTGGATTTCTTGCCGGGTTTACTTGCTTACATCATCTCTCACTTTTGCTTAAACGTATAACATACACATCATAACATCATGCCTTAACATTTCCTTAACCATTTCAAGGATCTCAAGGGTTTGTGATGCAGGTTATGGTAAATCAGACGTCTAGCAAGGGGAAAGGGGATTTATTTTCCTCTAGCCAATGTCGTCTAGAGATCAAAACACGATAACTTGAGTCAGTGCTATGAACCTCTCGTTATGGTGAGCTTGACTCTTGAAGAAGGACTCTCAATGACATGAATTTTCTTCAATCAAGCTACAATCAAATTCTAACAGTTTCTTGTTTACCCCGCGAGATCCTTGAAAACATTACATACATATATCATACATATCATTACATAACAGGTCTTCTAGTACATGTCTCTCATGTTCTCGCTGTTTATTTCAGCAATGGATCTCAAACAAGACAACGGAGATCTTCAATCTCAAGAAGCTCAGTTCAGGGAAACGCTCCTAAACCTATCCAAGGGGAAGGAAGAGTTGAAAACACTCCTCGCTAGGAACTTGGTCAAGAAAAGTCCTGAAGACAATAAGGACGAACGGCTGGAACAACTGCAAGCTAAGGTAGATGCAATGAGAACCCAGATGTTGGGGCAGATGGCTCTTACCCAAGGCCTAGCCCGGGGACAAGAAGAGTTGAGAACCATTATCAACAAACTCCATCAAGATGGATACAACCGTATGAAGCAAGCAGCCGAGGCTGAGGACCAAGTCATTGATCAACCTCCAAGAAGACAAGAGTTTGGTTTGGTGAAGAGTGGACATTTCCAAATTTTTACTACCTCACGGGTCCAACAACAACCTCGCCAAAAATAACGGGTTGATCAGAGTAAGCCGGATATACCCAAAAGGCAGTTTATCAAACTCAACATGTCGTTGTCTCAAGCTTTGCAACACCTGTTGAGGATGAATCTGATTACGTTGATAGGACCTTATCCGAATCCCAAGACTTCTTCGCCTAACTACAATCCTGATGCAAGGTGTGCATATCACTCCAACAGTCCGGGGCATGATACTGATGATTGTTGGATGTTGAAATATAAAATTCAAAACTTGATTGATGAAGAAGTGCTGGAGTTTACACAAGATGGTCAGGCTTATTTCTTCTGCCATCCTTCAAAGGCACATCATCTGAAGTGACAAGATTAGATGAAGAGGCCTTTGTTCATTAGAACTTTCAATTTGTAATTTTCTTTTGATTTGTTCGAACATTTATTCATATAAAACCTTATTATTTCATCAATGCATCGCGTATGTTTGTCTTGAATCAATTCCTTCGTATTCACTATTTCAAAACTGCATTCTTACTACCTTTTTATGATATTCGACTCTTGATTAAAAGTTGTAAGCCTTTAGAGGGAGGATGACGAAAACGATACCACAATCTCTACAGTATGCTTTTGAACAGACCCCGCTGACGATGTACAGGCGTTGTTTCAAATCCTAAACACTGGAGTTATAAGGAAGATAATCCCTAGTCAACCCCTTCGAGCCAAAGAAGTAGGAGTTTTTGTTTCACACAAATTATAACCCTTAATCATAACCTGGGGCAGGGTAGTTTCTCAGTTAATTCAGATGTGCATTCAGTCCCAATTATCTACTTCATACATAATGAATGGCATCAAAGACGTCCTTCGAAAACAAAAGACGGTGATGGTTCCCTATAATCGTCAAGACAGACAGTCATTATCTCTCGAAATAAAAGCCCATTAAGTTAAAACCTATGAAGGAGACTTAAGAAAAAAATTGGGGCATCCCGCTGACTGTTATCACAAAAGAAATAGTTCAGGCAAAAGACAGGGATAATAAAATAAAAAAGAAAGAGGTCCTACAAACCCTCAACAAACAAAAACTGACTGCCTATTCAAAATAAACTGTCAGTATCCGAACCATCACTGGAATATCAGAGCAAGGACTCAATTGAGATTCTAAACACGCAATTAACTGAGCATAGGACTGAAGAACATCACGAAGAGCGGGTGGGTACAAATAAATTTTGAGCCTTTAT